GGAATATCTTTGTATATTCCCCTTAGTAGTTAAATTTCTATTAGAGTTATAATCCTATTAGGGTAAGAATTTAACCTATCCTACTACTATAAATAATAGCACAATGAGGGTGATACTACACACACCTCAAAATTACATCTCTCTCTTCTCTCTCTGTTGCCGCCAGCCCCTCTCCCCCTCTGTCCTAAATAAGTTCAGTCAAATAGGCCTACAACACGTTATCAGCACGCTCTTGCCAGAAGCTAAGGAACTGAAGGATCGTGGATGAGGCTTTCTTCTACAACATCAAAGGCTTTCAATTATTTTCTACCAATCAGGTTCTTTTAAAATAAATTAAGATATTTGAAATGACCTTGAAGCATGAAACATTCCCCATGATGCATAAACCCTTTATATTTATATTTTCATTTCAATTATATATATTGTATATATGTTCATATATCTTGTCAATAGATATATTTGTTAATGCAATACGCAATTATGCTATGTGGATTTTGAGTCAAAGCATCGAAATTAATTTAGCAGCAATTAGGGTTTTTAACCCTAGAATTCGAAAAAAAAAATGGAATTTTTTTGCGGCTGCGCCGCCACTGGCACCAAGCCGAGTTAGCTGGCCTGCAGCTATGCCACCACATTAGGATGCCATCATTTCGACACCATAAACCGCTCACAGTAGCCCTTTGGGCTTGCTACCACTACACTGCAACCAGGCCTTAGCCTAGGTTGGATCATGAACGGGCCTGAAGCCTTGAGTCCACCAGCAAGCTTGAAGCCTTGAGTCCACCAGCAAACTTGCAGCTTTGCTGGGCCGCAACATTGCAAACTGGCCCAATTTGCCATCAAGCCTTGTGCTTGCTAGGCTTTGCCTTAGCCCCGACCTGCGACCAACACAGCTAGCCCAATAGACTGAGCTTGTTCCCTCGACCCAAAACTGAAGCCAACTTATGCTACGCTTCACGTGTACCCACATCCCATGCCAGCCTTGTGTTGGGCCTGTGCACCTGAGCTCTTTTTGGACTAAAAGCCAGCAGCCTTGCTGCTGGGCCTATCCCAGATTTCGGCCCTTAGACTGCTCCGCAACCATCTGTGGCCCACTATGCCCTTTTAGCGCTTTGCCCTACTCACAGCACCCAAGCCCACCGATAATGGACTATGGTTTTTCGAATCCAATGCTATTTTTAGCATTCTCTATAATTTTAACCCGAATGTTATTATTATTCTTGCTTCTACGATCGACCATGTATGGTCTGATCTATTGAATTAATTAAATTGACCAGCAGTCCATTAATCAGACAATTAATCCAAATTTATTTGCATGAAGCTCACTTTTTTGGCAATTAACGATTCAATAAATTATTTCATTTCTTTGAACCGTTGACTATCTTTCGTAATCCCGAAGCACTTACACTTGGGTTCCTGAAGCAACCACAAATCCACGACTCTTTATTGTATATGGTATTTCGTGTTCTTGCAGGTACCCCTATATGAACGAAACCTTCATAACTAAATCGAACCTGTAGTTTTGAATTTAGTGCATTTGAAACTCAAAGTTTTCATTCAAAACTTACCACATGAAACCCGTAGTTTTCATGCTTAAATTAAACCAATATTTGTCTATAGAACCGGCATGTTCTACGATATATGTCTATGGTTTTTCCATACGACTAACCACATTTGGGTGTACCCTCTGTTTTAGGGGCATGTCAAACTTGAATAAGCTCGATTTCACCACTCTGGAAGTTTCTGGAAGAAACTACCTGAAGTGGTTTCAAGACGTGAAGTTCCATCTTACTGCAAAGAGTCTTAAAGTTACTATCGAGAAACCTATCGACGATGAACCCGTCGACGAAGCTCAAAAAGCTACTGCTATGATCTTCATCCAAAGATACATCCATGATGCACTGCAGACTGAGTACCTCACAGAGGATGACACAACCTAACCTCGAAGGTCGAAGCATGTTGGCCATCACCGGATTATGACGTAACCATAAGAGTAAGCGATGTGAAAAAGTGACTGAATTAAAACCAAACTATGACTAATTTAGACTAAACAGTGAAAGAGTGCGCAGTTGTGGGAATAACCCACTGCAATTATTTAGAGCATAATAGCCAGTACAACTACAATAAAGTAGTCAAAGTAATTAAAGTACACTTATTAAGTTCATACTTTTAAACAAAGCTAATATCAGAACTGCCGAAAGTTCCTCGAATGCCACAAAGAGTACAACTACCTAGGTCCTGAAGGGGCGAAAAACAAAGTTGAGTGGGTCAGCAAAACAACGTTTGTAAGAAAAACCTTTAGTTTCAAACATAGTAACCCCTCGCTGTAAAACAAGTATAGTTTCCGTAAAACATACTATGTAAGTATGTAAACAAAAGTACAATAGCAATATAACCAGAAATATGTCAAGTCATGATATATCAAATGCCGCAGTAATATAATCATGTGATAATCAAGTATAAACAAGTGCTCATCCATCTAAGCTGACACACAAGTTCGTAATAATTATTTCTGACACGAACAGGACTGTGTGTAATCAATACGCTCTAATACTACGTTCACGTGAAGGCTGGTGCTGAAGCACAGTCACATACGAGTCGGAATTGCCTAATGCAATATGTACGACAGGACTGACACCTAACTTGGATCCAAGGCGAGTGAACGGTGTGGATGTGAACATACACGTAAAGGACTGGCCCTAGCCCTGGGACGAGTACTAATACCGGGGTGCAGCAATGATGAGCATGTATAAATATGCATGAATGTCATAACAGTAATATCCCAACCATATGGCAGCATTTATCATATTTAATATCACAATAAAGATACTTGGCAATATAAGCGTAAAAAATGGAGTAAATACGCATTTATGGAAACTATAACTATGTATAGATATAAAAACAAACTGCACATTCACAAATACATCGTCAGATCGTAGCCTTCGAGCCTTGTTTGACCCCATACGTCATCAGGATACGTTTCCCCTATATGTGAAATAACTATTTTAAATTAATTAATAACTCATATATGAAAACTTAAATAAAACCCCTTATAGTTTGCTCAAACCTAGGGTTTAAATATACAAAATCGATCTACTCAACGTCGCGGACCTACATAAATTAACAGAAGGCTCGAAGGCTACAAAATCGATCCATTCGGCTTATGCAACGCACCTGCCACTTTCCAAAGATGTATGATAAGTATATTCTCTGATTTTGTTGAGAAGATTATTGAGGTATTTATGGATGATTTCAGTGTGTTTGGGGATTCTTTTGATAATTGTTTGGATCATCCGACCTTGATCTTGAAACGATGTGTTGAAACTAACCTTGTTTTGAATTGGGAAAAATGTCATTTTATGGTTAAACAAGGTATAGTTTTAGACCATATCGTTTTAGAAAAAGGAATTGAAGTAGATAAATCAAAAATAGACCTTGTACGTCACTTACCCTCTCCTACTTCGGTTAGAGAGGTTCGTTCTTTTCTTAGCCATCGCTTCATCAAGGATTTTTCCAAGATTTCCAACCCCCTTTGCCGATTGCTTCAGAAAGATGTGCCCTTCAAGTTTGATGAGGAATGTGAATTGGCATTCAAGCAACTTAAGGAGAAGCTAACTTCAGCTCCTATCATTGTTCCTCCTGATTGGATCCTTCCTTTCAAGCTTATGTGCGATGCATCCGACTATGCACTAGGCGCTGTTTTGGGGCAAAGAAAAGGCAAGCAGCCGCATGTCATATACTACGTCTCTCGAACTCTCAATGATGCCCAATTGCACTACTCCACAATGGAAAAAGAACTTCTTGCTGTTGTCTTTGCTTTAGATAAGTTTTGGTCTTATTTCATTGGCACTAAAGTGATTGTTTACTCTGATCATGCAGCTTTGAAGTACTTACTAACGAAGAAGGAAGCAAGACCTAGGCTTATTCGTTGGATGCTTCTTCTTCAAGAGTTTGACATCGAAATCCGAGACAAGAAATGAAGTGAGAATGTGGTGGCTGACCACCTAAGCCGAATAATCCATGATGAGCATGCCGTGCCTATCCCAGAATCTTTTCCCAATGAGCAGCTGCTGTCCATTGAGGTAAGTGAACCTTGGTATGCCGATTTAGTGAATTACTTAGTGACTAAACAAGTTCCAAGCACTCTCACCAAGCACCAATGTGATAAACTTCAAAAAGATGCACGATTCTATGTTTGGGATGATCCCTATTTGTGGAAATATTGTTCTGACCAGATTTTGTGTAGATGTGTGCATGATTATGAATTTCATTTGATTCTAAGATTCTGTCACACTTATGCTTGTGGTGGACATTTTGGTACCCAAAGAACGGCATTAAAGGTTCTTGAATGTGGATTTTATTGGCCCACTTTGTTTAAAGATGCTAGAACTTTTTGTCTAACCTGTGATCGTAGCTAAAAAATGGGAAATATAGGTACCAAAGATCAAATGCCGCAACAACCCCTATCATTTGTTGAAATTTTTTACGTTTGGGGTATTGATTTCATGGGTCATTTCCCTCCATCTTATGGTTTCACTTATATCTTGCTAACTGTTGATTATGTTTCGAAATGGGTGGAAGTAAAAGCCACCCGTACTAATGATTCTAAGGTGGTTGCAGATTTTGTGAAAACTAACATTTTTGCTAAGTTTGAAATGCCTAGAGTTCTCATTAGTGATGGAGGTTCCCACTTTTGTAATCGAACCATTGAGGTTTTGCTCAAGAAGTATAATGTTACGCATAAGGTTTCAACACCTTATCATCCTCAAACCAATGGGCAAGCCGATGTTTTAAATTAGGAGATCAAGTAGATTCTAGAGAAAAGTGTGGGGCCAACAAAGAGGGATTAGAGCTTGCACTTGGACGATGCATTGTGGGCTTATTGTACGGCCTACAAAACTCCCCTTGGCATGTCACCTTTTCAGCTCATCTATGGTAAGCCATGTCATTTGCCCGTAGAGTTAGAACACAAGGCACATTGGCCTGTGAAGACCTTCAACATGAATATAGATGTAGCTGGGTTGCATAGAAAGCTCCAATTAAATGAACTCGAGGAGATTAGGCACAAGGCTTACGAGAACGCTCGCATTTACAAGGACAAGACCAAGGCATATCATGATAAGATGCTTTGTACAAAGACATTCTCCAAGGGGCAGAAAATGCTCCTCTTTGATTCTCAACTTCGGTTATTTCCCAGTAAGTTACGTTCTAAGTAGATTGGACCTTTTGTTGTTACTAATGTTTTTCCTTATGGTGCAGTCCAAGTTCAAAGCTTGAAAACCGGCCACGAATTCAAGGTGAATGGGCATCGTTTGAAGCCCTATTACGACTTGTTTGAAGAGCATGTAGTGGAGGAACTATCCCTCTATGCCGTGGGCTCCAAGGAGGCTTGAAGGATGGTATTCGTCCGGCTGTATGATATTAAAGCAAGCGCTTCGTATGAGGCAACCCATGTCAATAAAGAGCATCTAGATTCAGCTCTAAATCCATATTTGCTTTCTTTCAACCTTTCTTTTTGCTGCCCTTATCTTTCCATGTTTATTTGTTGCTTGTTTGGTTGTTTTTATGTGGGTTTATGTTTGAAACATTGTCAGCTAAACAAGATGTTTTTACATTTATTTTCGTGGGAAAGGAACATTAGGAAGAAAAGTACAAGAATGTGCAAACAGGAAAGAGCCTTCATTGGTCAAAAGGTGCCTCAGCACTCGATGAAGCTCCAGAAAGACGAAGCGCTAGAGTTTGATTTTCCGGAGCCTCAACACTTGGTGAAATGTAGATGATAAAGGCAAAAGTTGCCTCTGGAGTAAGGCCACAAACTTTTGATGATCACTCTGAACCCGAACTTCAGACTCCTGCAGCTGGTCAAGCTTCCTCTTCATACTCATTGAGTAACTAGTTGCGAGCATGTGCTACTCTTTATTCTCGTGCCTGAGCCCTCTGATCTTTTACCGAAAACTAGCCACCCTAGCCATCAAAGACTCAACCTGACGGGATCGAGCAAGAATGTGTTGGCCCAAGTTTGATACTGAGCCTGCACATTGGACGCTGAAGGCCAGAAAGTCCTGAACTTCCAGCTCATCGGACCACTTGGAAAGCATCATACTGTCTCTTGGAGTGAGAAGATTTCTAGCAACCACCATAGCCATTGTATCGTTCTTCATCACAAAGTCCCCAACTATAAGAGGACCATTGGAAGATAAGAATGACAAATGCTAAATGTTGTCTGGAGAAGACATGTTAATATCTTCCCCGACATTCAAGTCAAGATCTCAGAAGTGCAAGAATGGAGCTTCTACATGCGGCAATTCAAGTGGGCTTTGGAACGTAATGCGTGCCTTTATAAAAATCAGAAATCGAAAAGGCCTGCTTAGAAATCGAAAAAGCGTCTGCTTTCTCAAAAGTTGGGCCTACTCAGAAACCACGGGCCGATCTAGACTTGTCAACACCTGTCACATGCAACCTCAATTTTGCGGAAATTATGGGCAACTTTGTCAAAGATTTCTGACAAAGTAGTAAGCACGTGAATCTTACTGTTCAATCACCCAACGGTTGCCGACAAGAGTAAAAGAATAGTACCTCTACCGGTTATGAAGAAATTCCTATAAATGTCAACCTTCACCCTCCATAGCAAGGCAGACTTACGCAACCTTTCTTCATCTCCGAGAATGTATTCCCAACGAAGCCTCTCAAGTTACTTAATGTTCATCATCCCCTGGAGTACCTCTGCAAACAAGTTATCAAAAGCAAAACTATTTCGTATCATGAAGGTTGAAAGCAAGAGTATTTTATATCATGTTTTCTCCCTGTCTTTTTCCTTGTCTTTGTTCTCACCTGCGAGACAATGAGAATTGCTAAGAAACTCCCTAGCCCAGTTCAAGAATAAACCTGTGGAAAGATACTTCTTCAAAAAAAGCAAATGTACCTCATATCATCAGAGTTGAAGGCAAAGATATCTCATGGCATGTTTTTCCTTTACCCTTGCTCTTGCCTACGGGACAAGGAGAAAGAAAGGAATCGGTCGGCGCTTGGAAAGATTGAACAAAGAAACAGACCATCACCTCTACCTCGTGTCTGCCTGCCGTGCAAAAGAAACAAGCAGAGAAGAATGTAGCCTGCATAATCAATCAACCCAGCAGAAAGAGTCTGAGTTAAATCCAAGAACTCGATAAGCTTCAACAACATATTGATGGCACCGTCGCCAAAGAGCAAAGTCTCGCCGTACAATGCCATCAAATCACCACCACCAAGGAACTCTCCTATTCCTTGCTCAGAATTCCAATCCAGTTCAAGATCAAAGCTGTGGAAAGTCAACAAGCATGACAAAATACGTGCCAATTCATTCACTACCGAAGCCAAAGATCATCTACCTTCATAACCAGATTTGCATTCCTAAACTCTACTCTTTCTTGTTTTTACTTTGCCATGCTTGTCATGTTTAATTAGTTATGCTGTTTGCTTGTTTGAGTGTAAGTCTATGTTTGAAACATTGGGGACAATGTTTGGTGTAAGTGTGGGGGGGTAAACAAGCTGTTTTGAATGATTTTCGTGGGTTTTATTCACCTATCACTTACAATGTTGTTTTTCACTGTTTTTAAGTGTTTGTAGTGTGTTTTGAAGCATTTTAGTGTGTTTTGACATAAAAATCCGAAAATTTGATAAAAATTTGAAAAATTGTTTTAAAAAAACCAGAAAGAGTTGTTTTTGTGTGTTGTTTGTGTCTTAGGATACCTTCCAACACAATGATGAGGATTTGATTTTTAATTGCATGACTGTTATGAAAGTTGTAAATATGGATGGAAGTTTGATATACCTTTGGTTTATGCTTGGTTGTCGTTGTTGTTATGAATTCACATTTAATTACAAAGAAAAAAATTAGTTTTTGTAACATGTTTGAAGGAAAGAACTCAAATTAATGCTACAACCTTGGGAGACTTGAGCCTAAACGTTCTTTGGAGAGTTATTAATCTGTGATTTCTTGTTTTCTAAAGTCGTTGCATGATTTCATTATACTTTGCTTGGTTGCTACTTAGAAGGCGTTTCATCATTTAGTTCCAAATACTATAACTCATGCCCATTACATTCAAAGCATGATATTGATTTGCATAACACATGAACAAGATGGAGTTGTTTAGTGAACCAAGAGCCAAAAAGCCGACCCTCTGTGCATTGTGTTTAGGTTTTAACCCGTTGAGCCTCGTTTAGCCTATGTTATTTGTTAACCCACATATTCCCTACCAAACCTAGAATAGGACCATCCATACCCTTGTTCTTGAAGCATAGTGGAGCATAACTTAGGTGGAATTCCTTTTGATCCAAGTGATGCAGAAAAGCAAGTGTGGGGGAAGGGATTATTGTGTGTGTGTGCGCCAAAGTCTAAAAAGGGGCATGGGTAAAGAAAAAGAAAAATTCGTGATTATAAAAAATTTAAAAAAATAATAAAAATTAGAAGAAAAAAAATCTAAATTTAGTGGCTGCATTCTAAAGTGAATTCTAAGTGTCAATTTCAGTACTTTGCTTGCTATTGTTTTAAGAACGGTTGTTATCCTTACCCTTCTTTGTTAGCCAATACCCTTAAGCCCCGTTACAACCCCTTAACTTCAATCTTAGGTGTTGTGTGTTTCAATATGTGGAGTTTGGAATTGATATGAGCATATGGTATCCCTGGTTCTCGCATCTAAGTAGTAGCATTCCATTCATGAGATCATATCTAAACATGCTTAATAACTCCAGAAAATGCTTTCTTTGTTACAAACATATGTGAGTGCTAGTCAACATGTTTGTATCAATCTTCTCACATATAACTAGTGTAGGGTGTGTAGTCAGAAAATCTGTGTGAAAATAGAGAGTATCTTGTAAGGAATTGAGTGAATTCTCTAAGGCATGTTACTACATTCAAACCATTGTATTGATTGATTGTGAGCGAGTAAGTGGCGACTGTGATTAAGTATGTGCTAGAGTGTAAGGATGACTAAAATCTATGTAAGTAATGATTTTTAGCATGTCATGTTCTTTGGAAATCCCTAAGACAATTGTTGGAAGGTTTAGATTGTGTTTTGTTTCTTTTGTTTGTTTCATTTTGCTCGAGGACTAGCAAAAGCTAAGTGTGTGGGAATTTGATAGGAGTATATTTATGCGACTTAGTTAGCTTGTTTCTTGGCATTTATTTAGTTAGTTTCTACTTATTATAGTTATTTAAGCTATTTTTGTGTGTTTGTAGGTTCGAATGACAAAGTTGGCAAAAAATGCATTTTGGTGCAGTTTTGGGCTGAATTGGAGTGCATGCATGTGGATCAAGTTAGATGGACATTTTTGGTGCTTAAATGAGGCTAGGAACATGCTACAAATTTGGAGAAACAAATGCAAGTTGCAAGAATGGTTGGTGCACTCATTTAACCTACCAGAATTTGAGTTGTTGGTGCACTCATTTAACTCACCTAAATTGATGGATGGTGCACTCACCTAACCTACCTAAATTGAATGGAATGTGCACTCACCTAACTCACCTAATCCATCATCTCCCTATAAATACCATCGCCATGCAAACCCATTGATCATTCACCATTCTACACATCCATTCCCTCCCATACACAATTCCAGCCATTCTCTTTTCCTTGGCGCAGCCCCATTCAACCTTTACACATCTCTTACCCCTTCATTCAGCCATAAACATCCATAGTCACTTGTGCCGCAGCAAGGTGGGGAAGAAGAATGGCTTTTAACGTTTCAAGCTTGAGGATTGGAGCGTTTTAGGTGTACTTCGTTCTTGTTTTCAATGTCTACTTTATTATTTGTTCTTGTTTTCAATGTCTACTTTATTATTCTCTGATTTGCTGTAACTATGAGTGGCTAAACCCCTACTTAGCTAGGGGGAAGTTCGAAGCCATGAACATCCTTAAGTTATGAATTGATTTCTTCCAATTGTGATTGGATAAGTTGTGAATGCAATTCAATTAACTGTTTCTTCAAAACTGATTTTTGTATGTTAATTAAGGATGCATACTTAGTTTTCATGCATGAATTTGATGCTAGAATATAAATGAGTTTCACCTAATCATTACAAATTTATATTCATGAGTAGTGAAAGTTGCTAGTCACAATCACGTTAATTGAATTCTTGGCAAACGTATCATGCTTTCATAATTACAAATGTCTTGTCAACACTTATGATTTTCATGGAACGTAATGATCTATGATTGTATCTCTATTATGCATTCATGTAGGGGACCTTTGGAGAATGATTTGGGTTGTCGCATGCATTCATCCAATTCAATGAGTAAAGGAAAATCTAAGGGTTAATTAGTGCATCACGGTTAATCTGGGATGTTGAGCTTCATAGTTTATTGAAAAGCAACTGGAAATCGTTTCATAAGCAAGTGTGTCATGTGTGGAGAAT